CACTCCAATAAAGTTCACAAGCCCAGAAAAAATTACTTGTCAGCTGACTATCGACTTTCCCATCGAATTATCAACTAGTGGAATTCATTACCTCAGCTTGTGGTTGAGGCTCTACCCGTAGACTCTTTCAAAAGAAATTTGAATCAACTGAGAGACTATCATTGCCAAGACTAACACAGGCCATCAAGCCTCCTGTCCTTTCCAAACTGAAACTGAAACTCATGTAGATGAGTAGTTTAATAAGTCTTTGTCAAAAGAAGAGGACCATATGATTGCGTATGTATTACCAAATAAGCAATGCGAAGGAGAAGAGATCAAAAAATAAAAGTGAGTCAGAAAAAATAATTGCTGCAAGAAGATTCGACAGTAGGATAAGCGTTTGTGCAGTAATAGTTTGGAATGATGCTATGAAAATCTCAATTAATCGCAAAGGATAATCAAATATCAAATAAAATGGTTCATTTTTACGTGTTGAAGATAAATTGAATCTGAAAAGTGAATTTATTTAAGTGTAACACAAGTAATATGTTTTAAGTTATAAACTTTGGATGTTTAGGGGTAATATATATTTGGGAGGAAAAAAAGGATAAGAAGAAGAATAAGTGATGAAAAGAATATCTAATGTGTTGGATGACCAAACATGATGACAGTAACAATAATGATCATAAGTATGAATATAAGCCGTCTTCAGATATTAAAATGAATAAACTTTAAGTAATCAAGTGAATAGAAAGAAAGCGAAATAAACAGTATAAGTTTCAAATGTTCTACCTTGCTTTACAGTCAGTAAGATAGATGAAGGACATTATTTGTATATATTCGTTGATAATCACATTGGCATTTAGAATATGGCACAAACTACTTTCGGAAAGTCATCAAGGCAACTTGTGAATCGGGTTATAGTTCCACTACAATGGAGATTCATTTGTAATCTGTTCCACATGGCTGAGTAGTGAATAACGAAATATTCGGGCGTTAGTTTGTGTAGGTTCTCGGAGTCGACAGAATATCCTCTTTGTTGCGCAAGGTGTGGGATGATATGATGGAGTACGAACGGGGTAGATGTCGAAAAGCATGGAGTGTCATTTGTAGTCCGGTAAATGAAGACAAAGTTCGATTTAATGCGCCTAGTTCAGAGAGGTCCTAACTCGATTTGTAGACGCCTTTGGTAGTAATCCTTATTGTTGGAATACCCCATAACAGCTTTAGTGAATTTTTTTAAAATACTTTCAATTTTCATCAAGTGGTTATGTCTGCAATTACTGTAAACTAGAATACCATATTTAGGGATAGATAGGATACATTAATTGTACAATAGTAATAATCTCAATTCCATGTTATCGGAATTTACCATTATGATTTCAATGAGCTTTCTTGCTTTGGATACTTGAAATGTAATGTTCTTGGGAACGTTCAAAGTGTCGCTACACCTCAAACACAAGTCTTGAACAGTGTCGAGAGGTTTCGGTGTGTGTGTGTGTGCGCGCAGAGCCAGATATAGGTTAGTGCTATATGCAAAGTAGATAAATCAACTTTTATCAACATTCGGCGCCAGATTCCACGACACAGTCTATTGGCATAACTTGTTAATAACTCCTTGGATTGACAGTGAGATAGTTTTTTTTATAAGAGATGAGAATGAATGAACCTCTCTTGGATGATCGGCAAAATTAAAGGTTTTTCGTGCTGAAAACGTGAGTAAACGTCATTGATGAAAAGGGGAAAGAGTAATGGTTCAATCACACTTTCTTGTATAACTCGATTGGCTACACTCACAGGTTTAGAGTATCAAGATTCAAAGTAAACGAATCACCTACATTCTATTAAAAAAGATTTGAACCGTGATAAAAGGGGATTCCTTATGTTAAATGAAGAAGCTTTTAGAAGAAGAAAACTATGTTAGACAATATCGTAAGCCTTACGAAAATCGAAATACATAATTATCACTGACTGACCAACATCTCTTCTCTGGGTAATTTGGCCAGTAAATTTTAAGTGCGATGTGGAACATGAGCGTTCAGCCATGAACCCATCATGAGATGACCTAATCAGTCTAGCCGAAGGTAAAAATGATGATAGCTGTTCATGGATAATTTTTCCATATGAGGGGCAGTTAGCACAATCTGCAATCACACAGCTAGAAAGACTGTTCTCTTAAATAAATTACAGGACAAGAAAAGATCATTGAAATCCCAACCTAATTACTGAAGAGAATGTGACTGAAAAGAAAAAAGAAGATCAAGATAAAGCAAACTCCATAACAGCAGGATTGAACGAACTACACCCTAACATTTTAAGACAAATTGCGTAATATTTTGCTGCTCAATTGACCACGATATTGAATGTGTCACTAAGGACTGTAAGGATTCATTTGTCACTCCAATACCTAAAGCAGTATCACTGCAACGCTCAACAAACTATGGACCTCATAGCCTCTCCAGTGTCGTAGTTACAATACTGGAAACGGTAGTCGAGAGTACCATGATGACAGTTGTGGAAACTAACAACAGGGTATAAGAAAATGGTTTATATCGCACAACAGACCTTCTTATAGCAAAAGAGAGATGGAAAGGTGTAATAGACAATGGAACATCAATGTATCTTGTCTACATAGACTTCAGCAAAGCATTTGATAGGTTGCCAAAGAGTAGACTGCTCTTGAAGCTGAATAATCTAGACATCAAAAACCTCTCATCAAGTGGATGAATAGTTTCTGGGCAGGTCGTAGACAAGGAGTAAGAATAAATTCCAGGTGCTCTACGTGGAAGCAGGTACCTAATGGAGTACCGCGAGTCTCTTTCCTAGATCGTTTACTTTTTATATGGTACTTAAATAAACTCTCAACTATATTTGAGTCCCCAATGCTGGTATACTCTGACGATATGTAAATCTTGCGAGAAATAATAGGAGATGGAGATGCTTGCGCACTTCGGGTAGACTAAAATATTGTGATTAGTTGGTCTAAGGATTAGATGATGCCTATCAACACGGTCAAGTATATCTACATTCACTTTGTGGATACAAAGCCATATAGGTACAGCATAGGAGAAGTGCCCGTACCCAGTGACCAAGTGGTTTGATTTGAATAATAGAATACTAAGAAATGACTTTGGACATGATTTATCCTCTCTTCCTCCCTACCAGGGGACATAAAGAGCGAACACAAGAGCCAAGAACAAACAAAAACCCGTGACATGCAAGTTTTCACACTGTCATCAGCTTTCAGAACATCTTACACGAAGAAGTATTATCTGTCACTTCAAATGACTCAATCAGCAGAAGACTAGGCATGCGCAGAACCATACCAGAAAAAGACCAACATAGGCCATATGCATTTTATTCTTACTTCACAAATCTGAAATTTTTCATAAGAAACCCGAGTAGAAGATTGCAAACAGCCCCGCTCAATTTTATCAAAACATAATTCCACATTTGTAATCATGACATATATGAAAAAATATAAAAACACACAAGTTGTACCATACACACAAACTCAAGATAACATACATATATATATAACAGATTGACTGGACGAATAAGGATTCTGCTATGCTGAGAGAGTAAGTTCCAGTCTTGGTAACACCGCTTAGCCTGATGTTCTCACATTCATTTAGTCGAAGCAAATCACCAGAATATTGGAGGCTGGTTCACATCACACCAATTTCCAAAGGAGATCGACATAGTGAACTTTCAAGCAGGTGTCGTCAGATTTATTACTTTTCGTTGATGTAAAATCCTGGAGAGAATTTCGCGACCAAGAGGATAAACTAGCACTTCAAGAAGATATAGCTGGACTTCAAAGTTGGGCAGATGACGACGAAGTTACTCTTAACACTTCAAAGTGTAAAGTAAAGATCTGAGATTCGTTGCAGACTACAACAACAACTTGGGCAACTCTACTCTAGAGATACTGCAAGTTTACAAAGATCTAGGAGTGTTGGTATCTTATGATCTGAAGTCTTACAATGACTGCCACAAAAATGCCTTTCGAGCAAATCTTGCATTGGTTAAGCTGAAGCGCATTTTCGGCCAGTCCGACGGGAAAAAATTTCACCCTCATCTTCAACAGTTTTACTCGATGTCGTTAAGAATACGGTAGCTTAATATTTTGCTTCTCGTTCCCAAAAAGATAATGAAACTCTGAAACATATCTAAAAGCAAGCTACGAAATCAGTCCGGGGACTCAAATTCAAGCCTTATGAAGGGTGTCCTCAATCACTGGACCCGTACCCATTAAAATACAGTCATCTTAGAAGTGACCTAATGACTAACAGCATTCCCAACACTTTATGGCATCCTCTTAAATAACTACCTAATCTCAGTCCAAACATAAACCTTAGGAGTAACACCGAGAAATTGGTGACAATACCGAAGAACGGATTGTAGACACACAGTCTATTCCTTGAGAGTAGTCAAAGGTTGTAACTCGCCACCGGTTGAGTTGGCCCAAGCGTCTACCCAGGAGTTATTTAAGAGAGAAATTGGTGGTTTCTAAGGTCTTAGGACAGTATCTCACTATAAAATACAAATTTTCCTTTTTCATCTTTTATCATCAGTATACCTAGGTTCTTACCTGGACGCATCCGTGATCCACCGTTACTACATACGGAAGCCCGACAGTAATAATTTTCTTCTTTTCCGTCCAGAACCATCTAAACGATTTGGACTGATCAGTTCGAAGTATGGAATAAATTGCAGTTATGTAACAATTCTTATCGTTGAAGAATTACGAACAAGTGGTGAGAACGACTTTAGGTGACTATATAGCTATTTCTGATTAAATAATCACTATCAATTAAAAACAATTATGTTTACTTAAACGATATAAATAATTACTCGGTATTGGACATTAGTCGTCGTGTGGGAATTATTTCTTCTAGGTCGCTTACTGTTTAACACGGCGGCTAGATTTTCTCTCTCAGTGTTAGGTTGTCCGGTTTGTTTCATCAATACTATCATTTTGTCGCCAAAAATAACTAGCAGCATGTACGTGAAACACTATGGGCAAGAAAACCAATAAGCAGAAACTCAGTTTTCCAAAGGTTCAGGGATGGGTACCGTACAAAGCGTTTTCTGCAAAAAGTTAGTTAATAAAGTTTCATGTTTCAAGTATTTTCTTAAGAAATTGAAGAGGCTTCGGAGCCGAAATACGCTGAAGTTCCAAAGGATTGGAAGGAACCAAAGTTTACTCCTGAGGATAATCCTCATGGGAGATTGTTTGCTTCATCATCATACACAACGCTCTTCCCAAAATATCGTGAGAAGTACTTGAGCGAAATTTGGCCCGCCTTAAGAAGAATAATGATGGAACATGTAAGACTGATACGCATAGAACTTTTTATTATGCATATTATACATATTCTGTAAATATCACAAAAACGTACTTCATGCTTCCTGTTCGTCAGTTGATATTGTAGTGTTGATTGACAAGTTAAGCCCATATATCTTATTCTAGCTTTCGGACAAGTCAATCCATTCATTCTAGTCGAATCACATTTTGACCTTGTTAATTATTCGTTTATTAATCTTGACTTTTTATATGATTGCATGTGTGTGTACACTTCTTATCCCATTCATCACATGTCCGTAACTTATTTTTGTGTGACACAAAAAGGAAAAAAATGGTACAATTAATGTCCGATGTTAAGGATGTTCAGGTTATTGTCGTTTACTAACTTGTTGGATAAGGTTAAGTGGGTGCTGAGCGAACATTTGCATTAAGTGGTTTTCTGTTTTTCTGATACCTGTATTTTACAGTAGGAATATAGTCATGTTTAATTAATTGCAATTATGAGTATTTTGAATTTGAAAAATAAATTGTCGATCCATAACGCATGTATATAGCCTAAGCAATTGCGACGAAATATAATGAATTGTATAACATAATTGTTTATTTGAGTGCTATTCTTTCGAAATCCTTCAAACCAGTTTGTTATGTTTCATATTTTACATGCTAGTTGTTGTATGAATTGAAGTTTTTTTCGACTTTTCATGTAATGGAGACGTATTTCTAATTCTATGAACAGCATATTCGAGTGGAGATAGATGTGGCTGAAAGTACTATGGAAGTTCGAACAACTCCAAGGACTTTTGATCCTTTTATCATACTAAAAGCCAGGGATGTTATACGCCTATTAGCCCGCTCTGTCCCTATGGAGCAAGCTATTCGTGTTCTGGATGACGAGACATTCGCAGATATTATTGAAATTAACTTGACTAATCGTGAACGATTTGTTAAACGACGTAATCGGCTTATTGGTCATGATGGTGAAACGTTGAAAGCCCTGGAGCTGTCTACTAACTGTTATATAGTTGTGCAAGGAAAAACTGTTTCTGTGGTTGGTCGATATAACGATTTAAAGGAGGTGTGTTTACTTATTTTATGTATCTGCAATATTGTAATTATTTGAATCCTAATTAGTTTTAACGTCACTATCATAATCTCAAAAGACCTTTATAAAAGTAATGTAAACGACAACAAACAAGAATTAATCGTTATCTAAACTTAAGGAACCTGTTAACTGGTTGATAAAAACTTCTGTATATCGAGCAGCTAGTCATAATCATTGAGTTACAGATTTTAGTGTCAGTTTTCATTAGTGTGTATTTGATCAAGAATCCTATCATAAACTTTAGGTTTTGAAAAATAACTAACTCGAGTATTGTTCTATCTGGCTTGTGATGATGGTATGGTGGTTATTTTTAGATTGTTCCGTTTTGTTTGTGAACTACAGAAGTCCCAAGCACACACTAGTCACTTATCTCAGAAGAATAAAGGCAAATGCACTAGTCTATGGTAACTATAGTCGATCTTATGATTGGATTCATATTGCCACTTGGTAGCGCTTATACGAGTGGCTCATGAATCTTTTGTCTTTATTTATCTCCAGATTCTAAAACTATCACATAGGAATGACAATCAAGAAACGTAGTAGTACTATCTAACTCGAGAAAAATTAGTTTTCCAATTGGGTTCTCTTGATTGCATAACTGCTTTAAAATTTTTATCTGGATTTGTATTATTATATTATATTATTATTTTGCATTAGATTTCCGAGTATAAACTTTTTAAGGGGTGTAAAGATATTTGTACAAATCAAGAAAATTACAAGAAGTGTTAAAATACTGACTGCAGTATGACTTAAACGCTTTCACAGCGTGAAGTAACTTTCCACTGGTGACATAACACTTCTGGTTTGGATATATGAACATAAGCTCCGTGATCTCGTTTATTTGAATAGTTACTTTAACGTTGATAATTCGAAAGTTGTGACTCCAGAAAGGTTATCTTCCTTTTTTTGGTCATTAGTGACATGTTGATATTTGTGGACCCTATAGTGTGCATCAGTTGTCATTAGGTATATAATTTTTCTTCCTCTTTGCTCAGCTATTCGCCACCCCATTGGGCAGTTGATTGGAGGTCTATACCTTACACTTGTCGGCAGAACATACAGGCAAAGACACTTGTGGAGAAAATGAAGTAGTTCTTGAGTGGAGGCGTGTCTTTCAGTAAAATTCTCCTATTTTCAAATAACAATAAGCGTGTTACGTTAAAATAATTTTGAGGTAGTGGAGAAGACTCGTAGGTGGAGTTTCGTACTATGAACTGGATGGTTTGGTCGTGGAGCCTTCATTGTTTTCTTGAACAATATCAGCACAAATTTCATGTGGAAGCGAAGTGTTTGAATTTCTCCACATATGTATTTCAACACATAAATATTGGTACAAGAGGGCACCAAATATATATGCGCCACACCATATTTGTGTGTGCATGTGGGCTGTGATACTGCCCGGGTGCCCAGACCGAAACAGGTGGTTTGCTTAGGAGACCACACCCCGAGCCTTTGACCTGAAGGTCTGACCCACAAGGCAGTGGAGCATTGTGAGGAGATGCAGTCCCATGGTAGCCGGTGACCAACAATTAGTTCATACGGCATTTGCTCCTTCAGGATACTGGAGCCAGCCCATGTGCACCATTGGTTTGGGATCCGGTTAAAGCGCCGGACATTTGGTTTTCGTCCTCTCATTTTCGTAAACAATACCCCCGCCACGAGAAGCCAGTGATTAGGACTTCGCTGGCAGAGGCTGTATACGCGTGGCCGTGTGAGAGCATTTCGAGAGGGAGGGCGGGCCCATCCCGCTCTCGGCCATACCAGGGCATTTGGGGGCCATATGACTTATAGCTTGTCATATAGACCTCGATGGTGATTGATTATTTTTGTTAGGCTATCTCCATCAAATTTCCTATGCAATTCCTGGATAAGATTAAGGACATTCAAATCAACAACGACGAGATGACGATATCTTTTGATTTAACATCTTTATTCACTTTAATTGAACCAAGGTTAGCAGGGAAGCTTTACCCTTGCTTCTCACCAACGACATAAATCTCTCAAAGTACATGAAGCTTCAAAGTCCACGTTCACTAGAACTCGTCGATTTATGCTTGACAACATTTTCAATTCAAAAAGAAAATCTACGGACAAACGAAATGAACACCGATGGGATCACTAATATCAGGATTTATTGCAGAAGCAGTGATGTAGAGACTGGAAGACTCGATCTTACTCGTGATCAAGCCAAGTATCTGGATTCGTTATGCGGATGACACATTCGTTATCGTCAGAATGGACAAACTGGAAGAATCTACACTCTGATCAACAACGTCTTCAATGATATTATCGAAAAGGAGCCAAATCATTAACTATCATTCTTGGATGTATTAGTCACCAGAACTGACACAAGGAAACTGGAGACTGAAGTATATCACAAGCCGACCCACACAGATCGAATTCTCAGTTCCAGAAGCTACAACCCACAACTCACTGCCTTCTCGTGGAAGGGGTATTGTTTACGAAAATGAGAGGATGGAAACCAAATGTCCGGCGCTTTAACCGGATCCCAAACTAATGGTGCACATGGGCTCTAGTATCCTGTGGGAACAAATGGCGTATGAACCAATTTTCGGTCACCGGCTTCCATGGGACTGCATCTCCTTACGATGCTCCACTGCCTTGTAGATCAGACCTTCAGGTCGAAGGCTTGGGGTGTGGCCCCCTAAGAAAACGACCTGTTTCGGTCTGGGCACCCGGGCAGTATCACAGCCCTCACACAGATCAAATGAGATTTGTGTAGTGCATATGTATTTGGTGCCTACTTTTACCGATATCTATGTGCTAAAATAAATAAATATTTGATCTGTTAAAAAATTTATCATAATGTTTAGATGTCGGAATTTACTCATTTTCTTTATATATACTATTGAGTTTTAAATAATTATACTATTTAGATTAATTATATTTTTTGTTGTTGTTTATTATATAAATAAAGGTACGTAGAATTGTTCAAGGTTGCATCTATGACAATATACATCCAGCTTATTCTATTAAAAGGTTACTTATCATAAAAAAACTTTCTATGGATCCTACAAAACAAAATATATCGTGGGATCGATTTTTGCCTAAAATGAAAAAGAAAGTACTTAGTCGACGTAGAAAACCTCACAAAGTACGTTTATATTAATGTATATATTATGGTTTTAATAGTGAGACTATAATTTATAAACGAACCAATTAGATTTAGAATAACAGGTCTTGGATTTTGGCGCGAAGTTCACTCAATCCATTTGGCTAAATAGCAATTTCACGTTGTAGCTAATGTCAGTTCGTGATGAAAAACCTTGAATCTAATTCTTAACCTATAACCATCAACTGTAAATCACATTGCTTATTCTTCAAACTGCTTTATACAGTGGTCTTGAGTGCTGCTCGGCAGTCCGTTTTGTTTTAATTTACGGCAGCGAAACATGGCCATTAAGAGTAGAAGACACTCGTAAGCTACTAGTGCTTGACCACAGATGCCTTATAAATATTGCTGCCGTCTGCTGGGACCACCGGGTAAGTAATAGTGAGGTTAGATGTAGGGTATTAGGGAATGATGGTAAATCAGTTGATGAGATTGTGAATCTTCATCGACTGAGATTGTTGGGCCACGTGTTGCGTATGCCTGAACATCGATTACCACGACGTGCAATGCTAACCGGTGTTGGAGATGGTTGGAAGAAAGTTAGGGGCGGCAAAACCAAAACGTGGCATCAGTCCACAAAGTCACTAACTTGTAGTGTGAGCCATGTTGCTAAATGCAGACTACTTGGTTGGGGTCCGCGTGACTTTCGTAACCAATGGTTGGAGACTCTGTGTGACATGGCTCAGAATTGATCACAATGGCGTAGATGTATACACTCCCTGTCTTCCCTTAAACTAAGAGATTAAAATCGCTTCATATCTTTCTTTCTACGAATTGATTATATCTTCGTGTACTATATACTTATATGCAATCTTTATTTTACATATTGTCACCACTGAATTAACTACTTCTATGAATCCGGTGTTCATCTTGTTGTGTTAATGAGGTATGGCAACTTGGACCGATGCATATATGTACCTGGTTCTACATTGTAACTGACTGACTGAAACTGCTTTGTAACCCTTATTTAACCGTCGTAAGAAGGTAGACACTCTCAAAGTCACTTTAGCGTCGCTTAAAGGTCGTCCATAAATTATAGATCTCACCATTTAAAAAAATGCTTAATCTCTATTGAGTGTATCATCGATTTAATATATTTTTTTGTTGTTACTGTTTTTACTTTTAGGTACGTAAGAAAAAAGAATATAATCCATTTCCACCACCACCAGTTCAATCAAAAATTGATATTGAACTAGAAAAAGGTACATACTTCTTAGCTGAAGCTGAACGTAAACGATTGAAAGTCGAATCGAATATTGTTAAATCAAATCAAATATCAAAAATACGACAAAAAGCTAAACGTTCCGCTGCACTTATTCCACCTGATGAATGTCACAACAAAAACAATAATAATGATAATAATACCAGTCATAATAAACCAAAAAAGATTAAATTTGAGGAATAAAGATTGGCTTATTGTATATTTCTTAAAATTGTAAATAATATATATCTAGCAAGATGATAATTCTTTTTTATAATTTGTATTACAGGTTAAGATTTACTTGCTTACGCCGGCTACTCCTCGTGAAGGAGCATAGGCAGCCCATCAGAATTCTTAGGCAATCCTTTCTAGTTGTTATTCATCCTTTTCATATCTGCTTGTATTTTCTGTCACAATGTGTTCTTTGGCCTTCCTCTTCCCTCCAGGATTCTAAGTTAGGGTTTGCCTCGTAATGCAGTTTGATGATTTCCTCAATGTGTGTCCTATCCACTTCCAATGTCTTTTCCTAATTTCCTCTTCAGATGGAAGCTGATTTGTCCTCTCCCACAGTAGGCTGTTGCTGATGGTATCCGGCCAATGGATGTTGAGTATCTTGCGTAGACAACCATTTATAAATACTTGTACTTTTTTGATGATGGTTGTAGAAATTCTCCACGTTTCACCTCCATACAGTAGAACTGTCTTGACATTCGTATTGAAGATTGCGACTTTGATATTGGTTGACAGTTGTTTTGAGTTCCACGTGTTCTTCAATTGTAAAGATGTGGCCCTTGCTTTGCCAATCCTTGCCTTTACGTCTGCATCTGAACCTCTTTGTCCACCGATGATACTTCCCAGACAGGTTAAGACTAAAAGAACACTTTTTATGGGCGTTTATCTTCTTAAATAATGAAGGAACCACCTACCTACCACTTCATTTCTTGTTCGTATTTTCATTAGAAAGCAAACTTTTCTGTGAAATGAAACTTATGAATCAAATTTATAAACTTTCCATTCTATTTTAACACGGAATGGATGTTGTCAAAAGAAAACATTCCTAACGGCTAAAGTGTAATGCTATAGTGAATAAATAATTTGTAGAGTAGATAATTGACGAAGTCGAACACAATCTCAGAATGGATTGCATGTGATGAATGCATACCATTTATTTATTTTAACACATATATTGGTACAAGGAGGCACCAAATACATATGCACCACATAAATCTCATTTGATATGGATGAGGGCTGTGATACTGCCCGAGTGCCCAAACGGAAGCAGGTGGTTTTCTTAGAGGGTCACGCCCAGAGTCTTCGACCTGAAGGTCTGATCCACAAGGCAGTGGAGCAACGTAAGGATATGCAGTAACATAGTAGCCGGTGACCAACAATTAGTTCATACGCCATTTGTTCCTTCAGGATACTGGAGCCAGCCCATTTGCACCATTGGTTTGGAATGAGGGTTTTTCAACTCCCCTAGGCGGACTCTGTGTCCACCGACCCGGTTAAAGCACCGGACATTTGGTTTTCGTCTTCTCAATTTCGTAGACAACACCGCCACGAGAAGGTAGTGAGTAGGACTTCCCTGGCGGAGGATATATACGCGTGTCCATGTCCATTTATTTGAACACATAAATATTGGTACAAAGGGTCACCGAATACATATACGCCACACAAGTCACTTGATTTGTGTGTTAGCCGTGATACTGCCAGGGTTCCCAGACCAAAGCAGGTGGAGAAACGCAGATATAACGAATTACAATATTAGTCAATGCCTTTCCTTTACCAGTGATGTTTTAAGACTGATATCATCTCATTTATAAGTGCTAAGAGGATTTATATCAGATGAAAATATGCAATATATCACTTAGAAGTTTCCCAGAGTAAAACTAATTACTGAACCAAAGCAAGTCCGGTCGACAAACACATATTTCATTGCTGAGTAACTAAAGTACACTCTCTATTAATATATCAGTTTACCAAAATATCCTTTTAATAGTCAATCTGAATGAACGGTAGATCCTGAATATTTCTGAAATGAAATTACGATCATAGTACATAAACATATTTTGTTTGCATTATGTGTATTCTCATTTATTTGTATGGCTTTATATTACTATAATCCTATTTCTAATATTCGAACGTATGATATAATGCACGTTTCTGTATATTCAGTGGATCGTCGTTTAAACACAATAGGTACCATAGTTGTATGCTGTTAGTTCCCAGTTCGGTTATTTATAATTATTATTGATATTAGACACGGCCACTAGCTGTCATTTACATTATCGTGTGTTGTAACCAAACTTTAAGTAATCATTACAAGAAGCCATTCTGGTTCCAGACATACTGACGCATATATCCTCATGAGTTGAGGTTTGTAAACAGTTTATATATGTATGTCATGGAAATCATGAACCGATTGATGGTATAATATAGATTTCTCAGCACGAGGTATTACAACAGGTTTCCGTTTCTTATTTCTTGATCAATCCAGACGGTAAATATTGAGTGGTCGCTAGTTAGATATCAGCAGTTCACGAATCGACATGTCAAGAATGTGTATTCTTTTCAATGCATATCACCAGTTAAAACAATGACTCTGATTGTGCTCTTCTCTAACTTGTACAACGAAACGTTGTGCGAAATTTCACAAACACAACTGAATAGGTTATGAAACTCATAGACATAATAACCTGTTAAAAACAAACACGAAAACAGATAACTTGTTGAAACCTTTAGATGACAGGAACAATTGGCCCAGATATTCAAACAGATCACCTTCCAATACTATCCAGGTAAAACAGTTTCTATGGCGCTTTCATCGGTTTTTGTTAATAACCTACAGTTTAAACTGGAAAGTCTTCAAGAAACATATTTCATCTAGTTACTATTCATTGTGAATAGAAGAAAACAAACAAACAAAACCCCGTTTGTTTTTGTTTTCATAAGTTTATTTACAATATTGACAAATGTCAAAAAAATGTTAATCCATTCATCATTGATCAGTGTTTTTCTTCTTTGAATGCATTGGTAAATAGAGATTGTCTTTGTCATTCTTTATTTTTACATAAATTTGAGCTGGAGTACAATCTGTATGTATAATGGAATCGAAATAGAATCAGATATTTAGATAAATAAGTAAATTTTATTTATTTAAACACATAAACATTGGTACAAGGAGGCATCAAACAGATATGTGCCACATGAATCATTCGATTTGTGTGAGGGCTGTGATACTGTTTGGATGCCCAAACCGAAGCAGGTGGGTTTCTTAGGGGGCTATACACGGAGCCTTCAACCTAAAGGTGTGATCCATAAGGCAGTAGAGCAACGTCAGGAGATACAGTCATATGGTAGCCAGTGACCAACGATTGGTTCATACACCATTAGTTCCTTCAGGATCCTGGAGCCAGCCCATGTGCACCATTGGTTTGGAATGAGGGTTTTCCAACTCTCCGTGTCCACTAACCCGATTAAAGCGCCGGACATTTGGTTTTCGTCCCCTCAATTTCGTAAACAACACCCTGACCGAGAGAAGACAGTGAGTAGGACTCCCCTGGTAGTGGTTGTATGCACAAAGCCATGTGAAAGCATTTCGAGATGACTCTCCCCACTCTCGGCCGTACCAGGGCATTTGGGGGCAATAAATAAACACAACTGTAGTTTAATGTATGTTGCATGGTACTTTCCAGTGGCATTAAATTGTGATGGAACGTTTACATTACCAAATGCCCTGTTACGGCCAAGGGAGTGGAGAGTCTGTTATCCCTCTCAAATGGCCACGCGTGAACAGCTACTGATAGGAAAATCCTACTCAATGACTTCTCATGGCGTGGTTATTCTTTACGAAAATGATAAAACGAAAAGCGAATTTCTGGCGCTTTAACAGAGTCGGTAGATCCACCTAGCGGGGCTGAAAAACCATGATTTCGAACTAACGGTGCATATAAACTCAAGCATAATAAGGCGACATATGAACCTATTGTTGGTCACAGGCTACCATGGGACTGAATTTCCTAACGTTGCCCAATTACATTGTAGATTAGACCACTAGGTCAAAGGTTTGGGTAATGGCCCCCTTAGAACACCAACTGCCTCGGTCAGGGGACCCGGGAAATATTTCAGACCTCACACAAATCGAATGACGAAATGTGACGCATATATATTCGGTGCCGCTCTGTACCATTCTTTATATGTTTAAATAAATAAATTTAGTTTCAATCAACAGTTATCATCGACTTTCTATGTTGATATATTGATGAAAACAGTGAAATTGTCGAAAAAAATCATAAGTTTGTATAGAGTAAACTAAATTACTTTATGTAACCCAAGATTGTTTCCACTTGTAATTGTACTTCAGAATAGTAAACCATAGAGAACAGTAATCAAATTATTATTATTATTATTACCTCATTAAAATGACAACTTATTGACAGAATCATTCGACTTTTGTTCACTGAAATAGCGTGTTCGAATCATAGATTACCACTTAATTCAGACTAGGCAATTGGGTAGTAGTAACAATAACCTTCGTACAAACAATGTGCATTGAAACCAAGTTCATAAATCTCTGCTTGGTGAATGAGTCACATCAACGATCCTAGTAACCGGTTGGCAAACCAATCCCATTATTATATTCAAGCCTAATCGTGTAGGTGAACACTTGGCATCTTCACAATGAATGATTATGTCAACTAATAATAATTTGTGCACATGATTCTTCATTGAATGTGCAATAATGTTTCATCCGAAACCGATCAATATAGTAAACTGATCCATCCCAAATGATCTGAGTAGAGATTCAATCAACTAACAATCATCTGATATTAAATAAATGCATCAATTAACATATTCAATCACATCAATATTAAGTTGTTAGTAAATAAAGTAATGAAGACCATTTTGAGAGTATTATTTTGTACTTAGAGCTCGTCAAACCAAGACGTGGTCCCAATCTGTAAAGTTGTTGAGAATTGGACTGAGATATGTAAGTTAACGAGTGTAGACTATCTGGCTGCGGTCCGCGTGATTGTTCTAACCAATGGTTGAAAACTTTGAATGACATGGCTCAAAACCGTTCGCGAAGGGGCAGGTTCGTTCACCGTTTATCTTCCTTTAGATCTTGGGTCCTTGAATCTCATCATTCATTTTTTTCTACACCTAATCTTACCCATTACTACTGATACTGGTTAATACTTCTA